CCCCCCGGCGCCCAATCACAGCGCGCCGCCCGCCGGGCCCGCCCCGCGCCTGCTTCACAGTGCCCAACCGTAGGAAGACCTCGGAAGGCTTTCGCGACCCGGCAGGCAGCTTCGTGGGAGTGGAGGCCTCCAGGGGCGTTCGGGCGCCCGCAGCCCGCGTTCCACGGGGGCTGAGCTTGCTTCTCATTTCCCTTTTGTTGCCCAGGCACCCGCGTGCCTTGGAAGGGTACTCGTTAGAGGGTGTAGGAAGAGGGAGAGAAGGCTATGCATTCTCTTCATCTTCCTTTTCTCTGTTGCTTTTGGTGACATCCTGTTGACCTGGGGGAAAGGAGCCTGACAAAGGCCCCTCTGAGCAGATGTAGACAGATGACTGAAAAATATATGCGAGGAAACTGAGAAGGGATGCTTATGCCGGTTACTGATTTATTGACTCTCTGCTCCAAATTCACCCTTTTTGACTGCATTGTGAAAATGGATCTGGGCCTTTTAAACAGGTTTTCCTTTGCCTTCTGGGACTGAAGCTTTGTCAGTAGAGGGCGCAGAAGAGACATTACAGGAAGAACCGGACTTTTCTTCCTGGTTTTGCAGACTCTTGAAGCATACCTGGCTTTCTCCAGTGCCAAGCTCCTGTAGTGCTCTGCAGCCAGCAGTTTCCTCCCACATCTCTAACTCGGGAGTTTTGTAGTGGAGGTGAGACACCATCCTATTAATAGCTTCCTTGGCACCCTTGAGGCATTTGCAGCAAGTTGCTGAGGGCAGCTGTTCACAAGTTTTAGAGACGTAGCACCACATTGACTTCTCAGCCATTGAGTGAGCCAGGCTATACCCTCTCCAAAAAGGTCTAGATCTTAGCCCTGGGTAGAATTGGGGAGGTTCTTCATTGGGCACTTTTATCTTTCAGTCCAAGAATTAGTTGCAAGGTTAGCTCCTTACAGCTATTTCTATATTCTCTAGAGTTCTCTTCTTGCTAGTGAATTCCTCACTACTCTAAGCCCCTATTATAGTTAATAATTCTTTTTTATTAAGTCTTTCCTGTCCTTGGAGTAGTCCCAATAAATAGACCTGCAAAGATGGGACTGGAGATCAATTTGATTGAGACTTTGGGTTTGAAATGCTTGCGAAAGGGAATGCTAGTAATTTGTGGCATACAGGGCATCTCAATTAAGCAATCACCTATAGTTGGTCCTAATGAAGTGCCAACTGAAGCGTATGCCTTGAGGACCAAAGTCACAGCTACATTTGACTGCTATAAAGGTAACTGGAAGGACTATGGAGAACTGTGGCATGGGATAGATTCTTTTGAGTGTCTTTGAGTGTTTAGTAAGAGAAATGGCAAGCACAAGTCTCTGAATACTCAGAGTTATGGTATAAGAACCAGAGGGATTCTATACAATTCCAAAAGAATTTCGGATTTATTGTAGCAACAAAAATGAGAGTGCTGAAAATCAAACACAAAAATTTTAATTTGCATGTTACTGAATCATAACTAACCATTATATTCACACACATGCCGAGTTTCTCATGTAGAAGGGTGTAAATTGGTAAATTAAAAAAAAAAAATTGCAATGGGTTGGACCCAGATGAAACTGACAATCTTAAACACTCCAAGTAACTCTGACCTTTTCTTTTCAGTGGAAGTAAGTTGCTCTCCAGTGTCTAAGGAAACTAGCCTACCTCTGCTTGAAAGCTTTGTGACTACAGAGGATGTCACAATCTGGATAGGCTTCCTGATTTCAGTGGAGATGATAGGATCCCAGAATAACAGAGGCCAGGCAGCACATAACCACCAAAGGCAAGGTAGATACATCTACCTCAATAGGCAGCAGGCAAGCAAACTGCTTTGGCTTACAGAGGTGCCCTAGGAACAAAATAGTTAGGCAACTGAAGTAGATTACTGCTTGATATTTATAACAGGTCAAACTCTAGGTCACACAGCCAAATTCTGACCTGAATTGCCACAGTGAACAGTCATAGCCTCTCAGTTTTCAGACCTAAATCAATTTATAGATCCAGAATCACCTTGGTTGAAACTGAATCTGTTTCCCCTGTAGGAGGACCTTGCACTATTGCTATGGTACCATGGCTAATTCCTTCAAGCTTTCCCCCAAAGAAATATGTGGCATTTCCTAGAATGACTGCAGTGGTGAAAAGAAAATATGTAGCTCTTTTGAGGTTTACTAGACACTAGCTCTGAATTGATGCTAATTCCTAGAGGGGACTAACATCACTGTTAGTCCACACGTCAACTATGTAGTTACTTTCCCCTTCTTGAATGTGTAATTGAAGTAGACATACTTGGAAGCTGATAGAATCCCCACACTGGTTTGCTTATCTAAGAAATGAGAGCCATTATTAGGAAGAAATAAGTGGTAACTCCTGGAGAATTTGTATCCTTCCAAGATAGAAGCAACACTGTATGACTGGGAGGAGTTGCCAGGATTGATGCCACCATGATGTCCTAAAAGAAGCAGAAGTAGTGTCATACTTATCATACTCCCATTTAATTCACCAGTTTGACCAGAACAGAATGGATCTAGTAGAATGACTCTGGACTATTAAAAACGTAATCAGGAGGTGATTCCAATTGCAACTGCTGTCTCAAATGTAATAATTTTACTGGAACAAATCAACACAGCACTTGGCACTTGGTATACAGCTATTGATTTGGTTATTACAATTTTCTCTATATCTATTTGTAAAATCAACAGAATAGTTGGCTTTTACCTGTTAAGGCCAACAGTATACTTTCAGGGGCACATCAATCCTCCTTAACATAGGCCACAGAAATGTGTTTTATCTTGACATTCCATAAAACATCATACTGGTTCATTACATTGACAACATTATACTATTTGGATCGATAAGCAGAATGTAGCAAGTATTTTAGATGTCTTAATAAAATATATTTTAGGTAGAGAAAAAGAAATAATAAGCATGAGCATGAGGTAACAACTCTAATGTGATCACTTCAAACAAAGGATATGTTCTAGGATGGTACAAACTATACAAAGAAGAAACCACAGAGCTACTGAGTAATGAATCCAAATATCTGGTGTGGGTTAGAAATGATTAGGATTGGTGGGGAGAAAGGGTGAAGTTATTGCTGCAGGGATTAATCATACCAATTATATGGTCATGGAAGGAAAGTGTTATTAGCTAATTATGTCTCCTTAAATTTCTTATGTTGAAGTCCCAGCCTCTGGTACCTCCGAGTGTGTTAGTATTTAGAGATGAGCCTTTAAATAGGTGATTAAGTTATAATGAAGCCATTAGGGTGGGACCCTAATCCAACCTGACTGGTGTCCTTATAAGAAGAGAGAAAAAGATCATGTAAGGACATAGTAAGAAGGCAGTCATCTGCAAGGCAGAGAGGCCTCTGGAGAAACCAAATCTGCTGACATCTTGAACATCCAGCCTCCAGACTAAGAGAAAATAAATTTCTGTTATTTAAGCCACCCAATCTGTGGTATTTTGTTATGCCAGTCCTAGCAAACTAATACAGAGGACAGTCACCCAGCCCTAGAAAATATTTACAAACCATATATTCTATAAGGGACTAACATCCAAAATGCATAAGAAACTCATACAATTTAATAGCAAATAAATAATAACCCTATTTAAAAATAAGCAAAAGACCGGAATTGATATTTTTCCAAAGAAGATATACAACTGGCCAGATATATGAAAAGTGCTCAACATCATTAATCATCAGGGAAATACAAACCAAAACTACAATGACATATGACCTCAGACTTGTTAGAATGACTATTAGAAACAAGTAAAATAATAACAAAAACTGCCAAGGAGGTGGAGAAAAGGGAAACATTGTATGCTGTTAATGGGCTTGTAAATTAGTATAGCCATTATGAAAAACAGTGTGAGGTTTCTCAAAAAGTTAAAAATAGAACAATTCATATTATTCAGCAAACCTGCTACTGGGCACATTTCTAAAACAACTTCTCATGTTTTACATATGCAATTAATTTGAATTATCTTTTTTTTTTC